AAGAGCGGCTAAAAACAATCTTTATGAATGGATTTATACTGATGTACGCAGATCAAATTTTCAAAACTAGCCAGTTTAAATTATAATCTTTATGCCCTATAAACAAAATACTTAATCGTAGAATTTAGGGTATTAAAACATCAACTTTCTTGCAAAAGTCAGGGTTTCTGTTAAAGTTGAAGTGTTCTCCTTTGGTTATAAGATGGAATAAAAAGAATAATAATAGTTCGCATAGGCTTATCGCCCGTTGGGACCAGCCACTATTGGAGTCCACATGCAGCCGGGTTCTTTCGTGTTTTTCATATTTACAGACGACAGTATCTGCCCCCTTCCGTCCAATGCTCTCCCATTCATGTTGTTTAGGTTAGTGATCAACATAGTTATCACGTTTTCGTAATATCTATGTTGGAATTGTTTTTTTACTCTGCATACTGACAAATAATGTAGTCTATACACGATCAAGTGAGTCATTCGAGACAAGTAGTTGTTAATGACTTGTCCATGGTCATTTCATGTATGGCTATACCGAGGTTTGAACACAGTACCTTGTGGGTACATGTCGAACAACGTAACTACTCAATCATGTCGGCTAAAAGGATCATAAACATTCCTTTCTACAGTAATATAGTAGTAGTACAGCTGCCTGGAAAGCAGAACGTGCATAGTTCGATTCCGTGCGAAGGGAGATTATTCTTTTTTACCGTCCTGTTGTCGCAGCATCACATTGCTGTCTTGATGGTAAAATTGATATTTTGAAGAATAATAAAAGATTAAGGAAGAGAAAAGAGACTGACAGTTTCATATTTGAAAACTCAAAGCTTTGTAATCGTTGGTTTCTAAACTAACTAATTTTAGAAAACTGGTTTATGTGAGTTAATATAGAATCATTGGTCAAGTTTGTTTCCGCTCGCTCTTATTATTCTTCTGTTCAATAACTGAAAATTATCTATGAAATGCTACACTTGTATTGTTTTTTTTTAGTTGACAGCAAATCTATCTCAAATTTCTTTGATAGCACGAACAATAATACTTAACAATAATACTTGCTAACTTTATCAGTATGAAAAAGAAAATTTGAATGTTATTCTATCTCTCAAAATAATTCAGTCATCTAATTCAAAGAATGTGTAGGCATTAAATTACATTTAACGACGTGCTATGTAGAAGGCACTCTGTGTTTGAATAATCGCGTTTTTTTATGAAGATCGCGAAGAAAATTGGCAAAAATCGTAATGGTATGTGATCTAATCGGGATTGAGTCTAACGATAATCGGACTAATAAATCCCGATAAAATCAGTGGCTTTTTTACAATTTGGATGACATGGATTATTCCAATCGTTAGAGCTCTTTTTCGAAAATTTTTAGTAATTGTTGATTATTATGCGTGAAAGATTTTCAAAAAAGTACTACGGCTGCTGGAAGAAACTACATACGTCAAAAAACAAAGTTTTTACGAAAAGATACAGCAATTATCTAATAGAATCTCATCGAAAAAATGTTTAAATACGTTTTGTCCCAAAATAACTTTCGAAAAAGTTTTGGTCCATTCAGAGCTCTGTTTCATAAAAATTGTCACATGCAAATAGCTAACGTTTATCGCACTCTCTACCTATAGATGCAGTAGTTTAAGTAGCGACGTATTGTAATATGTATTGTTCGTAAAACAGAATTCATTACAACTCACTTTTGATAACTACATAATTATATTACATAATTTTAACATTCGGTGTATCATCATTCACACGGATTCTTGTGAACGTGCGTATTTTCAATAGACGTTAGACTATTCGCCGCAAAAAAAGATGATATCTTCTCGTTAGTTTCCTTCAGTCTTTCCAGAAATATCTCGGCGAAAAACTCGATCCTCTTCTCTGTTCTAAATTTTTGAAACTAGTGTCCATTATCATATCAAAAAATCGACAATGATCTCGCTTCAGACTATAAAAATTAGTATCGGTCATCAGAAATATTATTATAGAGTAGATTTTTATCTATAGTACTTTTAGACGCCATTTCTTAGACTCATTTTTGATTAAGCATCGATGTCATTTCCGATTGGAGGACAAGATATTTCGATAATATTTTTCCTCCTGATACATCTATTCACTACAGATGAACTGATTTAAGTCGACTGAATCAACAAAGAGTAATCGAAACCAAATCAGAAATAAGAAAAACAGAAGCCTCAAATGTAGAAGGATTCTGAGTCATCTTCAATGAAGAAATACTCATTAATGTGGTTGGAGGTGAATCTGAAAATGAAAAACACAAATGGTGTGCAACTATGGCCATAAACCGTCAGCCTAAAACCTAGGGAATCTCTGAGTTCATGTAAAACTCTCCCAAAAAAATATCATTTTTAATCTTGAGTATAACTATGAAATAAGCAATTAAACAAAAGAACTTTGAAACAAGTTCGGTTGAGCCTCGAAATAGTCGCCAAAAATTAACACAATAATTTTTCAGTACTACGGTAAAAAGAGACTTGACTGTAAGAGATTAAAAAATATAATCCATCAGTAATTTAAAATACTAAATTTAGTGTTTTTTCAAAGGCTATTTCAACCATAACCATCTTAGAATCTACTGTAGTAGGAAAAACAGCCATTCGAATTGATTATCATTCAAATCGATACATACTCCTGATTAATTCGCATAGATTTTTCACGCGGTATACTAACGGATTTAATTACATTACTTAATCGAGGAATGATTTTTTTTAATTATTTTCGAATTAATACTCTAATAAATGTCCGTAATTTTCATCAACTGAATGTCGATTATTTGATGATCATTTGACAAGTTTACAGATGGAATGCAACTACTATTGTATACAAAACCGGGTCACAACACTTACTGGTGGTGGTTGGTCAGCCATGGTCGACGATTGTTTCTTCGGAATATATGTATGCTTGAATGGCGTTGATGAGAATACACTTTTTCAATAACTACTGAGACTTATATTCTCTGAAATGTTAAAAGAAAAGCTTGTTAGGGCAGTTTTTGTGAAACTAAAATTTGGAACTCACATATATCCTTAAACCTTAATATTCTAATGCATCATATGTAAACTGAAAAATTTCGTGTGCACTATAGTCGTTTTCATTGATAATCAATGACAAGAGCGAGACTTTGTTATTTATTTCTACATTTAAAACAGAATTTTTTTTTGCTTGAGAGCACCCTATTTTTCTTTTGCATTGTTGCTATTCGCTCATTATCTTTCATTTTTTTTTAAATCGTTTTTCATAATTCAACATTCTCATTATTATAATCATTGAATTAATTGGCAAATAAATCTGTTTTACATATCCATGATATCTACAGAAGATCTTACACACTATTATATATATTAATCAACTGACAAACAATGATCTGGACTATCTTTCAGAATTATAACTTGATCAATTTTTCAATAAAACTAGAAAGTCTGACGCCTGTTATTCTTAATTACTAAGGTCTGTAATCGGGGGGGGGGGGGGGGGGTCTATAGTGGGGGGCGGTCTGATGGGGGGGAAGGGGGGGGGGGTATGTCTGTAATGGAGGGGGAGGAGAAGCCGCCTAATCGTGAACTTAAAACTTATACTCGCTATTTTTTTCGCAAATATGAGTTCTACAAAATAGGAATGCCAGCTATAATAATTGACGACAAAAACAGATTGATTTACAACATTACCCTAGTTTCTCTCAAAAAAAGATAGTTTTTGATTTTCAAAAAGCCAACAGGCCAATGTTTTTCGAATCGATAAGGCTTGATTTTTCAAACCAGTGTTCGATGTAATATGAAAACAAAATATAATTTGAAAAGTTCATAAGATCAACAAAGAACGGAAATAGAACTCATTGGAAATCACCAGTATTGTTCAAAAGTTTGGACGAGTGCAATTTTAGGATGTTTTGATCCGAATACAGTATCTGAAGGGTTGAAACTGGTATACTCCTATTCAGCTTCACATTTATTCCACTACGGGATTTAATTTATTGATAAGTCTGGTTGAAGACTAAAAATTTTGAAATTTTACTCCGTAAAAGACATTGCTACAGATTCAAACTTTTGCAAAGTCATAAACACCGCTTACTGTTTCTGTGTAACTTGCTGAAAGCAGAGTGCACGTTGGAATAACGCTCATCATAATCAAACGCTTGCTTTTATATGACAGATGCAAATAAAATATAAATAGCTGCAAGCGATTGTCCAAAATAAAATGGCTGTATTTTTTTATATTCCTATTCACTATATTCTGATGGATTTCTGTAACTAGAAGGGATACACGTAAATATGAATCTTTCATGTATGTTGCAAAAGTTTTATCAATGCTGACTGCTTGTTTGCTTTGAATCAAAGCGAAATGTTTGAGATGGCAAACAATGAAATACTCATTACCAAGTAGAAATAAAAATTCCACTTCTGCGTAAGAGGATACCAGGGTATGTACTAATGGCTAAATAACAAATAAAACATGTAATAGTTAAAAATCATTATTTGATCGCATTACAAGACTGCGGGTTCTATAATTGAATTGGCTGCTATCAAAATATATCAAGCAGATTTGATTCTCTAAACTTGGATCGAAATAAAAACATCGAAAGATGAATATGTCAAATAGTAAAAATGTGGAAAAAATCTAAAGTTAAAGGTCAGAACTGTTGAAAGATATTCGTTCGAAAAATTATTGATAAGGATGTCATTAGCGAACTATCAAGGCTGGATTGCGCTTTTGTAAATTTCTAATTGGCTGGTTACGCCATTTGTCGTATAGCACAGTGAGACAGATAGTACTCATCCACGCCCCAGTTTTTTTATTGATTGTCAATGTTGTAAAAGAAAGCGTTTTGGTTTTAGCTGCAATCAAAGACAGTTTCACACAGGTGTGGGGGTGTGGATATGGGTGTATGGGTGTGTGGGATGAGTGTGAGTATGAGCATGGGGTCGGTGTGGGTGTGTAGGTGTGTGGAGATGAGCGTGGGTGTGGTTGTGGGTGAGTGAGTATAGGTGTCAGTATTGGTGTGAATAATATTGAGAAGAACACTGGCACCAACACCCATACCCACACACGCCATACCCCATGCACTCACACCCAGCCGCCCACATCCACATTCCTCAAATGTATAACATTCATCAATTTTGTTTATTATTATTAACAGCACATGTGTTCTCTGCAGAAATATTTCTACTCTTACATGTTGATGTTAGAGTTGTTGAATTATTTGTTGCGACATAATTTCGATTCATAAATAATATATTTCATTTAATACATTGAATAACTCCTTCACTACACATTCCAAAATAAAATGTCGATGATTCTATTCGAATATCATCAACTGCTGGAACTAATGTTCGTTTCAGAGAAAGATATCCTTGGGCATTTTTGAACAACCTTAGAATAACACGAGAGAAATAACTCGGCTTTTTAGCTCTATCTAGAGTTGGTATTGCTTTATCTTTTTACAAGCCGATGAAGAATTCTAGTCACTTTTCTTCTTGTATATATGATGATCTGTAAAAATGAGCTTAATCTGTCGTAAAAACAATTATGCTTTCTTCACTATAATATAATAGAAATCTGGCTCAGCTTCCCCTCTATCGATCCATGCAAAATCGAGTTCGATAACTGTTTGCATTCAAAAAATATAAAGATTTTACTGCAGTCTACTCACCAAATTTTTTAACCGTTGGAGTTTTTTGTTTCCACTAAGAAGATCATCAAAAATCATACGTTGACTTTATTTTGATGATACTGAATCGATATTTGAGAAAATCCTCTCAAATCTTTATTTTATTGGTGTTTTCTATAACAAAAATTTTGAGAATCCAAAGTGATTAACTGAAAAAGGAGTCGAAGATATTTACTTAAGTTCACTATAAAAAATCGCTAGTCATCAGCATCATCTGCACTATAAGAACTATAATCAGGGGTGTGTCGAAGAGAGAAAAGTGGAGCATGCCAAGGATGTGTCAAAAAGTAAAAGTAGGGGTGCAGAGAATTTTTTGCGAGCTGAAAATGCGCATATACAATTTTGTAAAAGTGCAGGGATGCTTCTACATAAATGTTGCCTCATATTGTTCGGCATGACTGATGTAACTATTTGCTTCTGCCAGACCCAAGCCGTATATTTATTGTTGCACTAATTGACTCACTTCAAGCAAAGTCAACTGTGTTTTGCTATTACATATTTATGCTTTCATATGACTAACTTCTATCGTTGAATCTCATGATAATTTTCGAAAGTTGAGTTTCTTTGCATTGTTTTCTTGTCGCTCTACGTTACTCTTTTGTTGTCTATTTAGGATGAATGTGGATCTTGCAATATTGGTTCAAAAAGAAAATAAAACAAACAAAATCTGATGCCTACATATTAAGATCGGTGCAAATCAATTTAAACATAAGTTGACTCAAAAGAAACAATGGATTAATTAATGCACTCAGTGAGCTGCACTATTTGTGAAATAGAATCATACTAAGTGAAACTGCTTCCATAAATACTGTCACATCATAGGCTATCATTTAAATTAAATCAGAATATTGATTTATCATGATGAAAACAAAAGTCAACGTATGATTTTTTGATGATGTTCTTAGTAGAAAAAAAAACTCCAACGATTAACAAATCATGTCACGAAGTTGAAAGCAACTAAGAACTTATAGAAGAAAATATTTAGTTATGTACTTAGATTTTGAAAAAAATTTGGTAACTAACCTTCAGTAAAACTTTTGTATTTTATGAATGCAAACAGTTATCGAACTCGATCTTGTGTGGATCAATAGAAGAGAAGTTGGACTATCTTTTCATTATATTATAATTAAGAAAGCATAATTGTTTTTACGATAGATTAAGTTCATGATATATCCAAGAAGAAAAATGACTGAAATTTTTCATCGACTTTGTAAAAAGATAGAGCAATATCAACTCTAGATAGTGCTAAAAATTCGAGTTATTTCTTTCTTGTTGTTTTTAGGTTATTCAGAAAATGCCTACGATCACTTTACTCTGAAATGGACGATAGTTTCAATTAATGAAACATTTCAAGCTTCAGAACTTTCATGTCAATACATTGATGGTTGAATAAGAATTGCAGATCCACTTGTTTGATTAAATAATGATTGTCTTATATATCAGTATTTCTTGTTTCTAACAAAACATCCCGAGCACGATTATTTGCAATAGTAAAATTTTGTATTGTTAATAGAGGTGTATAGCAACACAAGTTCAACCATCAACATTTGCAGATATTGGATTCGTAAAAATTACTTTTCGCAAATTTTTAGAATTAAATATTATTGAAGCAATTGTTCCGTTTCCATGAATTATAAATGGTTTGTGCCAGTACTAACATCAAGTGGATCAGTCCAATTCGTTGTATCAATAATAATAATAATAGTATTGGAATTAATAATCTCTATTATAAGAAACAAAACTTTCATGAACATTTAAACCATCATTACCCATTGCTTGACATTTACTATCAGATATAGAAATATATTCTCTTGTATCTGTAAAATGCATACAATCTACAATTGTACTCATTCAATATCCAGTTTGTGATAGAACATAATAATTAATAATATTTAATCGTTTAACTCTTAATGTAATAAACTTGACCATAAATAGCATGACCTCTAAAACTATATCGAGCAACCATAGGATCCTCTTGAAAAATTTTTGTAGACCATCTCAATGGTAAACGTAATATACCAGGTAAATTAATCCTTGATAATATTGAGCAAAAAAGATTTGATACTTGATTATAGCCAATTAGAAATGTTTGATGAATTTAAATTCTTGATGATATTGTATATATACCATAATCCAAAAATAATATCACTAATGAATCCATCATTGATCATCATTTAGATAAGCACTCTGATTCGAGACAAAAAATATTTGTCCTTTGATCAATAAATATTTCATCAAGAAAATGATTCTTTCATTGCTACTCAATTTTGTATACTTCAAAAAGTACCTACTATTTGTTAGATCGACGTCTTTCGACACACTAAAAGATATACATAAAGTAAAGATATTCTTTTTTTTCTATTTATTATTTGTGTACTTGAAGATTAGACTTATCACTGTTATTTCTTTTTCTAAACATTCCTACCATACATTATCATAATTATTCTACATATAGTTCTCGATTATTTTCACAAATACAAAGAAGTTAATATTTTTCGTCATTGAAAATTATGATGCTTCATAAAATGAACAATAGTAGAAATCAGCATAGATAAAACATAAATTTCGATTAGTCTCTTATTCTTTGACCAATTCATCAGATACTGTTCGAACATTCGTTAACGTAATAATACCTGTTTAGAATTTATCTTATCCTCAATAATTCGACTATATCTAAGTCTCAGATCGCTTTGAAACTAAAAACAAGCATCACTATTGGACTCAGTATAATGAATCAGCCCTATTTTGAGCTCTGTTAGATCTTTCAAGATGAATTTACTGAAATCGAGGACCTCGGAAAAACTCTTGAACTCAACGTGTTAGAAAGTTTGAATTTGTTTGGATCGAAAAAGAAGATCAGTCAGTTTTTGGCATGTATACATAGCCCTAGATCTACTCTTTCGAATAGTGAAAAGTAAAGGTCTCTATGATGTTCCTATCAAAAGTTATTCGAAAAAAAGTAGAGTAAATTTTTTATATTTTTATTCAAACAATTATAGAAATAAACTAATGTGAATTGTACCATAAAAAAATCGAGTTTTTTAGTTTCTCAACATTCATAAAATTATATATGAAAACGTTTCAACAAGGTGTTGATAGATAAATCTTTCCATGGAATGCATTTTCGGAGACTTGAAATTCATGTTGTTGTTGTTCATTTTTGTGTATTTTTCTCTTTTGACGAATAGCTTCTATTTGTTCATGTATGATTGGATATTCACTAACTGTTTTAATTTTTTCATAGATATCTTCCAAATTATTTTGTTGTTGTTGTTGTTGATTCATTTGTTCTTTATATGTGCCTATAAGTTTTTCTAATTCTTTAATTAATTCTAAATTTAAATGATTTGTTGTTTTCTCTACACAAATCTGTTTCTCTTCATCAATCATTCGTAATAGACCAACTAGAAAAGGGTCTTCTGTTGTTGAATGAGCAACATTAATAAGAAAATAAGCAAATTCAACACTTGCAATATTCAGTCGATTAAGAAGATCGTTCATTTCATTTTCTTGATAATTCGATGAATTATTTAAAATTTTATATATGAGCATATAATCAATTGAAATATGTTGATTCTGTGTACATGAACATACGAGACATGCATTTCGAAAATCATGTACCTGATCAGGTAAAATCCAAAAATTATCCAATTGAAATGGATCTCGTTTACATACAGTACATAACATACTTGAATGTGAAATAACTTGTGGATATAATTCAATAGACTTGTTTGGTGAGTCCATTTTCCATAAGATCTTATTTCGAAGTATATTTCTCATTGTTTCTAATATTGGACGAATCATTTGAATGATTTCAATTTGAGCATGTTTAATAGATTGCCATCCATTAGATAAAGAAAAGGGACTAAGTTGTGTACATATATAATTAATGAGACGATTTGATTCATTAACAGAAGTTGACCAACTTATTTCATATTCTTTATTTTCTTCATCATTAAATTGAATTCCATTTTTTAAAGCAACTAAATAACGAAATGATTCATTATCAAAACAAAATGTATTTTCTTTTTTAAATGGAATATCATTAATTGACAATGAATTTAACATAGTACGTAATAATGGAGCTGTATTTCCTGGTTTATAAAAAGTTGATCGAGCATTTGTAAAACAAAAAATCATATTTAGACGAGCATTTGAACCTAATAAATCAAATAATTGTGTAAGACATGTTCGAAAAAAAATATGAAGTCGTGATGTATTTGGTTTAAGAAGAAAACATATAGCATCTAAACGTGTTAAATTACATATATATTCTAAAATATGTTGCATATTTATATTATCTTGATCAAGACCTCGGGTATCACCAAAACCAGGTGTATCAATTATACGTAATTTTTTTCCAATAATATGATTAAGAGCAAATAGATAAGATCGACAATATTGTGTTACAGATTGACCTGGATGATCGAAATCTTCATTAATTAAATTATCAAAATTACCAAATTTAACTGTATGTTCTTGAAAATTATTTCCAGTTGTAATGAGAAATGATACTGGTATAAGTGCGACAGGTTGATTTGATGCAGCTTGTTGAAGAGTATTAAATGTAAGATAATTAACAAAAGCATTAATAAATGTAGATTTTCCAACACCTGTCTCACCAATAAGAAGAATATTAATAACATCCTCATCCGATCGTACTGCTGCTGATGATGATGAAGTTAGTCTTTTTGTTAATGGTTCGTAAGGAATTTGTTTGTTCTTTGATGATAATATTAACATGTCAGACAATACGAATGAACAATAAGAAAAATCAGCATAGATAATACGTAATTTTCGATTTGTTAGACGTTCTGTAGCTAGTTCACTACATAGTCGATTTAATTTTGATTTATTATTATTATTTAAAATATCATTCGAACAAAGAATACGAACATGTGGATTATCTTTTATAAAATTTCGTTCCAAGAATTGTATAATATTAATTATATCTAAATCATATTCAGCAATATTACAATAATGAAAATATTGTGTTTTTAAATGATTAATAAATCGTGCTTTCGGTTCTAAATCTTTTAAATATTGACTTAATTCATTTAAAATATTATTTAATTCAAGTTGTAATTCATTTCGTAATTTTTGATTTGCTAAATTATTGGGAGTATTAGTATATAATTTAGAAATTCGTTCAATTTCATTCATATATTTACGTATCATACGTATTTGTAGTTTTTGTGCTTTATGAAGTCTTTCTTTAAGATATCCACGTAATAAATGTGGTAAATCATGATTGATTATTACATCAAAATTTTTTAATCTAGTTGCTAATTCAAGAAAATATTGATCAGAATCTTGATTAGCAATTGAAGATTTAGGAATAAGAGTAAATCCAGATCCAACATTTCGAGGATATTTCCAACGAATAGCTTGAAAGTTCAACATTATTATATAATCTATATAAACACAAATATCATAAAAGATGATCAATCAGTAATAATGGATGTTAGTCACACTTCTAAAAGATTGCAACTTAGTTTTTTTTACTGTTATTAATCAATACATCGAATCATTGATCGTAAAGTTTTGCATCGTATAAAAGCTTATTAGCGCAGTTCTTTTGAAGCTAAAATTTGCGTACATTAAATATTGTCTTAGTATTCATAGCTATGTCCGATTCGAATCGGATTACGAAAAAAATTTTTAGATTTCGGCGTGGATCTGCAGTCCGAGTTCACTGACTTTTCTTTATTGACATTGGACAATGATGCATAGCAAGTGCACAGTTTATCCATCCCTTGTTTTCAACGACGAAATGAAAGAAGATTGAGAAATTGATTTTCTCGAGAGAATGAAAAAAGTGATCGGCACTAGAATCCACCTCGGATCAGATCGGACCACAAAAAAGTTGACCCATATTGGATATTGATTAGTAATGCATATATCAGTATCTTTAACTCCGGTTGCTAAGATCTGTAATGAAGAGGGGAGGGGAGGGGGTAGAAGCCGCAAAACTTCGATTGAAAACTTATACTTCACTATTCTCTTTGAAAATATATGTGAGCTCCATAAAACCTGTAGCCGCAATTTTTATTGAATTAAAGTATGAAGTATGCAAATACTAGTAATAATCATAGAAAGGTGTATTTAATCAATCTGTTTTGAGTCAATATTGTATTTCAATTCATCAAACAAAATCGAAGCGATTTTGTCCTAGAGCTATTTAATAATCTTATAAACTTATAAGCTGCTCTTTTAGTTATTAATAAAAATACATATATTAATTTCATTTTCGAGAGTTAATAGGTAACAATCTGTAGAAAGACTCATTTTGAATTTCTATCTCACGAGTACATAATTCGATCATGATATATACATTCAAGCAGATTATTTCTCATGATTGCCTATACTGATATTACAAAGCGATGCATACAAAATTTTATTTGCATATGCGAATATTTGTATTGATTAGTTACTGTAAACTATTCATTACAGCTAATCGAGTTTTGCTCTTGTTTCGAGACAAAATTTGAATTTAATTATGCATAAGTTTACAAACAAACAAAAATTTTTCATTCTACGATTTTATTGGTAGTACAAGATATATATACATATTGATTTCAAAAATCAATGTTTTTTATTTGTTAATCACATAAATCGCATACAATCTTACCTTCATGCCACTGACTTTTGTATTATGTTTTTTATTTTAATAGTTTCGAAAGAAATACTGTTTTTTTACTGTATATTTGATGCTGTTTATCAGCAAATATTGTTTTTTTCTTTTTGTTTGAGACAAAGAATGAAAAAGAACGAAAAAATGTAATCACTGATGTATTCAAAAACAACTTAGCAGAATGACAAAATTCTAAAATAGGTAACCAGAGAAAAAAAAAAGAAAAAATACACATTTTTCTTGTGTGTGTGATTAAATTTACGACAAAATAAATTCAACCTTGACAAGATGGTTGTTATTTAAGAAAAAAAAACCCCAAACAATCTGAAAGTATAACATTCGAAGTAGATATAAAGATTTATTACTGTAGAAAAACAAAAAACTGATAAAAATTCGTTTAGACTCTATTATATTTATGATGGTTTGAAGTAGTCAAAGAGAAATTCTTTATTGATCAATCATTCTATATATCACTATAGTGCACTTCACAAGTCTCGCAGCACTTTTTTGTTTTGAATTCTATATTTAAACTACACAACATTAATTTAAAAATGAAATACAATAACAAAAAACAGCGAGCGATTTCTGAGAAAGTTTGACGTTCTGATCAAATCTTCTATAGTCGAAACTAGTGAAGATAGGTAGACTTACTATTAGCGAAAAAATATGGTAAATCTTGAGAATGTGAGTGTGAGTGGAAGAATGATCAATATTTACCCCTTCAACGTATATAATCTATGTCTTCTCATTTTTATGATTATATATAAGTTTAAAAAACTTTTAGTGAAATTTCTACAGGATTAAAATGTGAAATGCCATGAAATTGTTGCCATTGCCAACGAAGAAATTCGTCAACACACGTTTTCGGTTTTGTAAATTAAGACCTACTGTTAACACATGTCGAGTGTGAAAGATGTTAACCGTGGTCTATGAGAAGGAAGCGATTCTATTAATGCATCTGCCACCCTATGAAAGAAGAGAGGCGTTGTGCAGATGTCTTTCACGGTGTGTGATAGATCGTTGCTAAGATACTTGTCATGCCTGGATGGCAGAGGCACAGTGTACCGTCAGACAAAAGGTGACGTACAACAGAGTAGAATAGTAACTTATATGATAGTCCATTAAACACGCTACAAAACGAAGGCTTACTGTCTATTAGAAACGATTTGCTCAAAAATTTTTTGTTAAAAACACTGAAAATTATTTGATCGTTTGGTTTCTATTGTCTTTATCTAAGATGTATGACTCTTTTTACAAGAATCTTCGGTTTTTTTCGAAGAATATAGAAAAAATACTTGAAAAATCTGTTAGCGCAATCCTTCAGGGATTAAAATGTGAAACACGATATACCTATTGTTTCTAATTCCTTAAAAACTGCTCTTTTTTACGTATACTGGGTATATTCCATCAGCATTGCTAAATTTATAGAGTAGAACTTCATAAAGAAAATACTCCAATTAAATGTTAGTTATACATAACATCTGATAGTCTCTTGAAGATGGCTATCAGCCGCTGTGACGATCCATGAACAGTATCTATCACCGTGTGTGGGAAGGGTGGTGCAAATTTCTACCCTATATACTTCAACACTCCTTTCAGATTGTGTTTCACAAAATAGGAGCTATAGGAAATAAAGAACGACTACGAAGCTAGATAAAAGGAGATGTGGAAAGAGAATGGCGTGTATCTTTATTATATATTTAAAACATTGTGCAGTAATTGATAATAAAAATATTTATTAAAATAATTTTTTTTTATCAAAAAATTGTGAATAATTTTACTAAATAGAAGAATTGAATTAGGAATTTTCAATAATCTGTTGATGAATAAAATGATGTAGTATTTAGTCTTGTGATACTTCATATGGCTCTGTCATCATTTTTTGTGTTTGTTTCATAATGTCTAGTTGCACTTGTATCAGAGGATATTTACGGATAGTTGTGATATGTTCATTGATAATTAACAGATCAATCAATTGTTGATTCGATTTAAACTCTTCAATTCGATTTTCATATTGATTCTTAAGTCGTGTGAGTTCTTTGATTAATTGCGAATTTAGATGATTTGGTTTTTGACTTTGACAAAGTTTATTTTCTTCATCTATCATTCGTAGAAAACCAGGCAAAAATAGATCATTTTTTGATGAATGAGTAATATGAACTAAGAAGTAATCGAATTCAGCACCAATAGTACAAAGTTGATTAACCATATTAATCATTTCTTCTGGATGATTACTCACAGATTTATTCGAATATTCAGAATTGAGTACATAATGTATTGCAATATGTTGTTCAATAGGACATGAACAAACAAGACATTTCTTTAGAAATTCATGTGGAATATTACGAGCAATCCAGAAATTACCAAACTGAAGTGGATAAGGTTTGCATGAAAGACAAATACTAGCTGGACGATGAATAGCTTTTGGAAACATTGTTATAGATTTGTTTTTAATATTCGTCTTAGACAAAATAAGATTTTGAAGAATATTCTGCATTGTTGTTAACATTGGACGAATCATATGAGAAATTTCAACTTGAGCATGTTTATTTGATTTGCATTCATTATTTGAACGATATGTAATAAGATTTTCATGAATATAATCAATAAGACGATATGATTCTTTGACTGAAATTGACCAACTTTCATAATAATCATGTTTTTCATCATTATTGAACTCAATTCCATTTTGTAAAGCAACTAAATAACGAAATGATTCATTATCAAAACAAAATGTATTATCTTTTTTAAATGGAATATTATTTATTGAAAATGATTTAAGCATAGTTTTAATTAGAGGAGCTGTATCTCCTGGACCATAAAAAGTTGATCGAGCATTAGTAAAACAAAAGATAATATTTTGATAAGCATTTGGACCAAGAAGATCTAATAATTGAATAAAACACATACGAAAAAATGTATGAAGTTTAGATGCATTTGGTTTAAGAAGAAAACATATAGCATTCAGATGAGTCAATTCATTGATATATTCTAAAATATCTTGCATATTAAGATCATCTTGATCTAAACCACGTGTATCACCAAAACCAGGTGTATCAATAATACATAATTTTTTTTCATCATTATCACTAAGATGAAATTCATACATTCGACAATGTTGTGTAACTGATTCACCGGGATGATCAAAATCTTCATTATTTGAACTATCAAAATCTCCAAATTTAATTAAACGTTCTTGAAAATCATCACCAACTGTCATTAGAAATGAAACAGGTATGAGTACAATAGGTGTATTCGATTGAGCTTGTTCGAATGTTTTAAATTTGAGATAATTAACAAATGCATTAATAAATGTTGATTTACCAACACCAGTTTCACCAAGTAGAAGAATATTGATATTGTCATTGGTTATTGGTGAAGATGGTAGTGATTGTTGTGAAGTAGAAGTTTTGTTTTTCGTCACTGTAGAAGATGATTTCTGCAGATGGCTTTTTTTGTTATTATTCGTTTGACTTGTCGTTAATATTTCTATGTCTTCGAGTTCAACAGTGGAATACGAAAAATCAGCGTATGTTATATATAAGTTTTGATTAATCTCACATTCTTTAGCTAATTGATTACGTAGAAGATTCAATTTTGATCCATTTTTCTTATTTAATGTATCAGTAGTACAAAGAATTTTATTATTTCGATCTTTCATCTTTAATTTACATTTCAATGTTTTTTCATAATTATACTTAGTTAAATTAAGTTGTGCTGCATTACAATATTCGAAATGTTGATCTCTGAGGCCAACAATCAATTTTTCTTTGTTTTTGAAATCATTTAAATTTTCTTGTAAGATCTGAGCAGATTTTTCGAAGTTTACATGATCTACATGATAAAATAATTGATCTCTCTTTGAAACAGTAGTTCGATTTTTGCGCAAGTCAATAATCAATCTTCGTAGTCGAGCAATGATGTGATCATGCATTTTGGATAATATTAACCATTGACATTGTTTTTTATATATCTGATCTTCAAGATATTTATACATTAATCCGTTATCAGAGAAATCAAGAGAGTATTTTATATTTTTAAGTACATTAGATAAATATATTAAATATTGCTCAACTTCTCTATCGAATTCTGGAGGAATCAAATTAAAATAGGCATTAGGTTCATTATAGTCAGGAAACAGCCATTTAATAGGTTGAAGAGTATACATTATTGGACGATGTATATTTTCATTTTTATTCTCATCAATATATAAATAAACATCATACACTGTAGATAATTCCATCAAAGAAGGTATATTTGAATAAACCATTGTGTTAGTTATTTGTTCTAGAATATGTTCATCATCTGACTTGAGTATCAAAGCATCTTGTTCATCATTTAAATGAATACAAATTCTTTGAAGTGCATCATCAATTGCTGTTACAAGGGCTTTATCAAATGGCAGCTGTAAAACTACAACAACGTCAATCCCATAACTAATACAAGTAATGATGTGAGTAGCTGAAGCCAAAGATATGACTGATTTAATCGTTTTTTGTTTTTTGCTTAGTTTTTCGGAAACTTGTTCTTCTTCATATACACAAGAGTAGAGTAAAAAACGGGTATACTCGTTTATCGGGTAAGGATAGTTAATAATTGCAGCAATTCCATTATTTCCTGTTGGACGCAGCAATACACTCAATCGTAACCCTTCGGGTATATTAATTATCTGAAGAAGACTTTCATTTTGATCTTTTTTGCCTTTCTTCATTATACATTGTGGGATTTTGTGTACTTTAGTCAATTTATCTTCGTTACTCCAAGGTAATTTCTCACATAAAACATCTCTATAGCCATTATATAATGAACCAATACATCCGTTTGGATCTATTGCCGTTCGGTTTATGGAAACCAATGTTGGCTTTTTATTATCTCCATTTGTCTGTTTTTGTGCCATAGTACTGACAAGTTAATATTGTCCACCACAATAATATAAAACTAAAATAAACTGAATTCTATAATAAAACAAATAGCGTTGTCCATGACAAGTGGTGTTATTTCACAACGTCAATATGTAAATATGCATTCAGAAATAGTCATCTGTATTATTTTTGTAACGAAAAATGTATTGAAAGGAAAAAGTTAAACATTTTCAAAAAATTTTGTAAATATCCAAGTGCTAAGATTTCATAATTTAACGACTTAAGTAACAGAAATATAGTTTCAAAAAATCTAGATAAAATTACAATCTTATTTTTTGTGGTTTTATGAGGTTCTTTCATCTATTTCATAGGATATTGTCAGTTCAATTTTCATATTTATAATAAATTTACTTGCAGAATCCTAAGATAAAATATTTGTTTATCATTTAATTGTTTCGAAAAAGTTTTTCATATGTATTCAAACTTGAAGAGTCTTATTAGTCATCAGAATTTCCTTATCAAAACAAAACTATATATAAACAGCAAATGTTACATTGTCAGTCAGATACTGTTTTTCAAAGTTCGAAGATTTTCGCTATTATAAGAATAAAATTTTGATTATAACTAAGGCTACGAGTTTCGTCGAGAATATAATACATATATTAAAATTCGTTTGATAATTCAAGTTTAGTTCGAATGAGAATGTTGGCTAAAGAAGTCCTAGACTTAACTCATTTGATATTCTTCATAGCCTATTGGAGATAGATAGCATAGTATTGATATTGAACTGCTTGCAAAGTAAAGATATGCAAGATTTTATTTCTATTTGTTATTATCAAGATGCAAACATCGACCTATCGAATTTCGAAAAACTATTGTTGGATGTAATGTGAAAAAAATTTAAATGTTAACATCTAAAATTTATAATTATTTGAAAAATATTACAGAACGAACTGATTTTTTTTTCAATATTTATTTGGAAATGTTTGAAAAAATATATGTTTTTAATTATGAAATGTGTTGGCTTTCTTATTTCCTACCTTCTAAAAAAAAATGATTTGCGTATTTTTCTTTATGTTGTAATCTTGAGAACAAGTCTGTTCTGTTGATATAATGAAATTTGCTTCACATGCAAACTTTTGTTTTTTTATTTTCTTTATAAGAAAAGAACGAAAAAATAAAAGCATAAACCATTGATGCTATTAAAAGACTTTTAGCAGAATGGTTAAAAAAAAATTCTCTTTCTTATACAGAAAATGATTCTTGTTGTTCGATGGAGTATAACAATTTATTTTTAACGATAAAATATCACACGGAAAATTCCAACTTTGTCAATAGTTCTATTATTTAAGGAAAAAAAATTTTTCTTCTTTTCAATTTAGCATCAGATGAATATTTCAAATCAGCTTCCTACAAACGAATTTATCTTTCGAAATGGTAAAAATCTTTTGACATCCGACTTTTGCCATTAGATGAAGCAATAATTGCTCATATGCTTATTATTTTCTTTTCGAGTTATGACAATTGTACTAAATTATTGATCTATGAAAACTTCAATGACACCATTTCGACAATAAAGAGATCTTGTGATTCGTAACATGCACGGAAAGTATTTGTAGTGATGACACTCCTTCTCTTAGGGCGATTGAAAGATAGTCCAAATGGTTTCTTGAAAGTCGATAAGAGGTTTAAGATGAAACACAAACTACTTGTTTCTATATGTTGGTTTTGTTTCGCAGCCATTGATTTTTGTATACTCTAATATATTTAGACAGCTACGCATTAGAGGAGACAAGGAAAACGAGAGAAGAAGAACAAAGAGAATACATATCTAAGACAATGTAAAGTAATTTAACCATCATACATAACTAAATAAGTCTTACTGGAATTTTATTATTATAATATTATGCGAAGAATAATCAAATATACCAAAGAAAAACAGAGCATTGCTTTCCTTATCAGATTATACAAAGAGAAAGTTTATTTAAGAGCACCTTGATCAGTACAGAAAAAATTGTCATAGACGCACAATTTTCGAATGCTATCTTCTATGAGATACTGGGATCGTAATGGCCCCAGTGTGCACTCCTGTTTCTCTAGGATGTTGCGTCTGATCGAGCTGAAAATTGTTTTCAAGATACTAGACACTGTTTGAGGTGAATATCTTTTAATTTTTTTTTCCTTCCAAACAAAAAAGTGAAAATATCAAACGTACCCTAAAAAATCGCACGTTTCTTAAGATAGAGCCTTTTTTTTGTAAAAGCTATTAAAAATCAGCAGAACAATATTTTTTTTGAAACGAAAAAAATACTCGTCCCAAACCGTGTCTAATATATGTGAAAAAAGTTTTAGCTCGATCGGATGTACCACGCCGGAGAAACAGAGGCATTTCTGCACTTTTTTCATGAAAAAATTGGATTACTCTAAGTGGCTATCATGTTTTTATAAGAATTCTATGTTCCCAAGTGTTACACAGAATGTAATTGGCTTGTCTACTATTGATATTGAATATCACGCTATGTATTTTTCTGTTATTTGAAAGAAAGATTGAGTTTAATTTTGAAAATATGAAATTTTATTTCTAGTATATTGCGTCATAGAAGGATATTTGTTTCGAAAAATAATCGGTTAATATTACATCATAATATTAAAATATCTTTGTTGTTGCGTGTAACCTAGATTGTCAGATATTGAAATAAAATACAAAAAAAAATATAGTTTTTCTTTTTTGAGACATCGTTCATATTAATAACATTTATCATGTGTAGTATTCATTTTTAAGAAACTTGAAAAATTAATACAAAAAGTGATTTTTAATAGTTTATAACCAATTCATTCATTAAGTCAAGAAATCGTTGTGTTTGTCGGATCATTTGAAAATTCACATTCATATTGTTTCATTATGATTTCTCGACTTTGTTTAATAGCATCCATTTGCACTCGAACCATAGGATTTTCATATATTGTTTGAATCCATGTATAGATATCGTGTAGTTTACTATGGTCTTGCTTTGACTCCAGCTCATATGTATATTGTTCAAATCTAAGCATGAGTTCTTTGAGTTTTCCCACTAATTCTAAATTCATTTCATGCGGCACTCGACATGCACAGAGATTACTTTCCTCATCAATCATGTGTACTATACCAATTAAAAACGGATCATCTTTCGATGACCGAGCAACATTCATAAGAAAATAAGCAAATTCAACACTTGCACGAAGCAATAGAGTTAGGCTTTTCTTTATTTCATCTTGACTGTAATTTGAGCATCTTTCCGAACATGTATAGTCGAGTTCATAATCAATTCTAATATGTCGATCGGAAGCACATTTACAAGAGTAACATGTGTTCCGGATTTCATGTGAAAGATTCTTTGCAATCCAAAATTTATCACGTTGAATAACATCAGGTTGGCATGTGTAACAAACAGCAGCTGAACGATGAAGAACAATCGGATTCAATTCAATCAATTTATTTGGCGTATAAATATTCCATAGGATTAAATTTCGAAGAATATTTCGCATTGCTTCTAACATTGGACGGATCATATGACTAATTTGTAGTTGAGTTTGTTTGATTGATTGTTGTTTACCTTGTATGACATAAGCGCACAGTTTTTCAGAAACGTAACGAAGGAGATGATTTGATTCTGTAACTGATTTCGACCAACTATTTTCATATTCATTATGTTCTTCATCAGTAAATCCTATTTGATTTTGTCGCGCAACCAAATATCGAAATGATTCATTATCAAAACAGAATGTATTCTCTTTTTTGAATGGAATATCATTGAGTGAAAATGATTGAAGCATAGATTTGAGTAATGGAGCTGTATCACCTGGAGTATAAAATGTTGATCGTGCATTAGTAAAACAAAAGATAATATTTTGACGTGCATTTGAACCCAAAAGATCGAATAATTGAGTAAGACATTTTACGAAAAAACTGTTAATTTGTGATGTATTTGGTTTAAGAAGAAAACATATAGCATTTAAATGTGTTAATTCATTGATATATTCTAAAATATGTTGCATATTAGCATCATCTTGATCTAAACCACGTGTATCACCAAAACCAGGTGTATCAATAATGCGTAATTTCCTCTTATTATTACTATTAAGATGAAATACATAGGATTTACAATGTTGAGTTACTGATTGACCTGGATGATCGAAATCTTCATTATTGAAATTATCCGAATCACCAAATTTTACTATACGCTCGTTAAAATTGTTACCAATTGTCATGAGAAATGAAACAGGTATGAGTACAATAGGTTTGCCACGTTCAGCATCATTAAGCATTTTGAATGTAAGATAATTAACAAATGCATTAATAAATGTCGATTTACCTACACCGCTTTCACCAAGAAGAAGAATATTAATAATTTCATTTGTTGATGATGGTGTAGATACATGAGAAGCCTGTGATTTTGTGGATGAACATTGACTATTTCTGTTTGTTTCTTTTTTCTGTTCAGTTGATAATATCGATTGATTATTATTGGATAATTGATCATTAGAACATAATGTTTGGTTTGGTTGGTTCTGCATAGTTGATGTATGTTTCAACGTCTGTTCATTGTCATTCTTATTCTTTTGAGGTTCAAAAAGTCCGTTATTTTGAAATTGTTCTTCTTGTGTTGTGTTGATCGATTGTGTTTTTTCTTTTATATCTTTTAGTTGTTTCAAAAGTTCTCGAATATTCTCTTTGAACGTTGTTTGATCATTGTGTTTAAGTGCTTCATCAATTTCAGAAGCATTCTTCTGTCTATTGCGAATGTCAAGCATTAGTGTTGTTAATTGCTTAATTTTGTCTTCATACACTTTCTGTAAGTTTTGCCATTTTTGTTCTACATCTATCAGTAGTTCTTTGAGATAGTCCGGAAGCGCCTTTTTACTATAACTATCGAGAAAATATTTTACTTTCTTGTAGTAGTTTAGATTTTCTATTAAATGTTGTTCTAACTTGTTGTTGTCCCTACTGTTTAATGGAGTATATGGTGAATATAATTTATCAACATCAGGAAATAACCATTCAATAGGTCGTAGAGTGTATTCGACTGGACGGTATGTGTCACGTTTTTGTTTGTATCCATCAATAAACTGACAAACTGCGAGAAGTGAAGTCATTTTTGTCAATTCAGTTACATTTGAATACACTTTGATTTCGATAACTTCTTGAAGAATATTTGCATCATCTTCAGTAAAACCAAGATTCTCGTTACGATTCTTCAATCGTGTTCGAATTTTAGCAAGTGCAATATCAATTTTTCTGGCAGTATTTTCTTCGGGTGGTAGTTGTAAAACGATAACAACATCGATGCCGAAGCTAATAGCAGCAACAATGTGTGTAGCATTGATGTCTCTTATTTTTGATTTAAAACATTTTCTTGCGTCTGCTGGATCGTCAGAAAGTCGTTGTTCTCGATCAGCATAAAAAAAACGCATAAAACGAGTGTATTTGTCGATTGGATGATGATCAATGAGTGTGGCTATTCCGATTCGTGGCGCGACTTTCAGTAGGATATTTAATCGTAAGTCATCATCAATATTGATCCATTTAAGAAGGTTTTGAGAGTTGTCTGTGTTACCATCTATAGTTTCACATTCTATTGATCCGTGAAGTTGTAATATTTGGTTTTCACCGAGCCTGTTTAATCCTTGTAGCACATAATCTTGGTATATATCATAGAATGCACCGAGATTCCCATCTGGATTAATAGCTCTACGTTTAATCATAAGCAGTAGCGTGATTTGCAAGCTTACTAATGTGTTCTTGTACCTCACACGTTGTAAGTATACATTATTCACTGAAATAATCTAGAACATAGACGACTTCAGGTTTAAATGAAGGAATGATCTAATTAATGAGTAGTTATGTATAAAAACCATACAAACTTGTATACTATCGGATCTTGGTAAAACAGTGCCTTATCAATATATAATGTTCCCAGAAACACGAGCCCTGTTTCACTTAACTGCACTGGCTACATTCAGTAACGGATTTTATACTTCTGACTTGTAAAAGTTTCAAATCTGTGCATATGAAAATAAATTTTAGACGACGTGAACCTAACTATTAATTAATTTCTCTGAACTGAAAATAATATTGTGTATTTTAATGCCATTGAAACTCACGTTCATTTTTCTGATTAGAAAACTATTCAAATTCTGGAATAATCTGTACATCCAGAATTTACAAAACGTAGTATTCAAATCCGTCAGATTACATAAACCACGAGAATTAATAGTAGAAACTCAATTTTCCGTGGTTCCCTATATGAGCGAGAATGTAAGATAGTATTATGAAAATAATAAGCGGTTCAATAGAAAAATGTTTCCATAACGGATCCTATGTCACAGTATTGAAAATTTTTATAAAAACGAAAGTTACGTCTAGTAATTTTCAAATTAGAAGGCTTATCATTACTTATCGTAGATATTATGGTAAGCTGAAGAAATAATGCTACTGTCATTCTTGGTTACTTCATAAATTCGACACTGATTTGGTAATTGAGAATGAGTGTATGTAGAAAATAAAATAAAGGAATGCTAACAAAATCAATGTGCAACTTTTAACTATACATATTCAAGAGACTTTCGGTTTCAAAACTTTGTTTGAGTTCTGAATGGAATACGAGCAGAAGCATTACTTGGACTGATAAATTAGTGAAATTTTTTTTTCTTGGACATTGGTATTAATGACTATATAATGGCTAATAGAAATCATTTTTATACAATTTATAACAAGCGCTATGACTGTTTTTTATTGACTTTCACTATCCATTATTGAAAACTTGCGACTTTTTTTTCATCCAGCAGATATCTTTCTTCCAGCGTAAGTCAACCAGTCTCAGTTAACATTGAATCATATAAGGAACTTAATCTGACCAGTACTATGAAAATCTCATTTGTGCTTTTAATTTTAACAAACAATACTGATGGTACGAATATATCTCGGTAAGAGCAGATGATAGATTCATTAAATAAGAGTCTTTTCTCTTTTCATGTACTGTTTTTTCCTAAGTTTCTGATAAAAAACAAATCATATGTCATTCTGTATTACATGCTATAACGAAGAGCTATAACTGTTAACATTTGGTCTTATTACTTTTGGATCATGATTTAAGACAAGTCTTTAATTATATGAAAATGTAATTAATATGTTTTGCTTGTTATATCATCTATATCAATAATCGTACAAAACATGTATTTTTTGAAGCTTTTTTCCCACTGCTATTCTTGTTTATGAGTCAAAAGTGAAGAAAAGAATTTAATATTATAGCAATATTTGTCAAAAAGAAAAAAAACATTCGAAAATAATCATATGCTAAAACTCGTCCAAGATATAAAGTGTTTAATTCTTACCTTAGCAAAAACTAGCTTATACTTTTTTATTTATGTTGAT